CTCGACGTGCATAGCCACGCTCCATTGACGACCATTTCCTTCGGCGCGATCCAGACCACAGAACAGTCCGGTATGGTTAACGTAACCTTGCTAGATCTCTTGCACAAACCACTGCAACTTGTTCTCCGTACTAGAGATAAGATCACTGTGCCATGTTCTCCACTGTTCATACCACCTGCTGACGAAGAAGTTCTACGCTCCCTCAGCATTGCACCAGACTCGATCACAGCCACTCGTCACGTAATGCCTGATATCTTGGTCGGCATAGATTACTTCTGGGACATCGTCACTCTAGATCCGCCTCGAACCCTACCATCAGGACTCGTCCTTTGCTATACACGCTTCGGACCATCAATTTCGGGCTCGCAGTTTTTTCGTTAACTCCCTTCAATACACCCCTATCGAGCCCAGTTCATTTGACCTTTCCTCCGCTGACCCTATCTCTCGCTTTGACACTCTTGATGTTGTTGGCATTACCGACAACCCAGACCCTCAGCTGGATCACGACGAAGACACGCGCATCGTTAATCGTTTCCAAGATACCGTCCAGGAGATCGATGGATACTTGTACGTTCAATTCCCATGGAAATCATCTCATCCACGGCTGGCAAACAACAGGTTCTTAGCACTGAGGAGACTGGAAAGCCAATACCGCACGCTCACGAAGAAGCTAGAGCTGTGGAAACTCTACAACTCCACTTTAAATGAGTACCTGGCTAAAGGCATCATAGAAGAAGTCGAACAGGACCATTTTGATGACCACAGAATCTACTATATCCCTCATCAGGCTGTCATTAAAGAATCCTCGGCTACCACAAAACTTCGAATTGTATTCGATGCCTCATCCCACTACAGGGGAGCCCCGAGCCTGAACGACTGCCTTCATTCGGGTCCGTCTATCTTACCAGATCTCGTGGGAATTTTACTTCGCGCGCGTTTGCATCGTTACCTCCTCATTGCTGACGTTGAAAAAGCCTTCCTACAAATTCGCTTGCAGCATAGTCAGCGCGACGCCACTAGATTTCTATGGCTCAAAGACCCCAACAATCCGCCTTCAACATCTAATCTCAGAACTTTTCGGTTTCACTTGTTCCGTTTCGTATAAACGCATCACCATTTCTTTTAGCAGCATCAATCCGCTACTACCTGCGACGCGAACCGCAATCGCCGCTCAGCCAAGAAGTTGAGCAAAACATTTACGTCGACAACATCCTTCTGGGAGCTGACACCGAAGAAGAAGCGCTGCGTAAGTATAAAACTTCTAAAAATTTGTTTTCTTCTATGCATATGAATCTTCGTGAATTTCTATGTAATTGTGTCTCCGTTAACGAAGCTATTGAGCCCTCTGATCGTATGAAAAACCTCTCCACTGTTTCAATTCTTGGAATTAAATGGGAACCCATGTCTGACCTCATTTCTATTCCTCTGCGTACAGTTGAGAAACGCGTGGTTTCGAAACGTACGGCGCTTCAAGCTCTTGCTTCTACATTTGACCCGCTCGGCTTCCTATCCCCATTTGTCGCTCCACTTAAGGTTTTTCTCCAGGACTTATGGTCAAAACCTTACCATTGGGACGATCCTCTAGACAGTTCAGATCTTTCTCGATGGAACGAACTCATTAAGGACCTCGGCTACCCCATACCACCTCTCCCTCGTTGCGTTACACCGCAGCCTACTTCAGCAATCCAGTATGAACTCTGCGCTTTCGGCGACGCGTCCAAAAGGCTCTATGCTTCATGCGTATACCTTCTTTGTCGTACAAATGCTTCCGTTGACACACATTTGATCATGGCCAAATCACTCCTTGGCCCTCGTAAACCTGCTACTGTGCCACGCATGGAGTTGCTAGCAACGCTAGCGAGCTTACTTCTAATTAAGTTCGTCCACAAACACCTTGGCTGGCAGATAGCGGTAGTCCACGTGTTTTCCGACTCGCAAATAGTTCTTCACTGGATCCATTCATCTCGCCCACTTCGCACCTTCGTCAAAAACCGTATTACGGAAATTCGTTCCATTACTGAACACTTCTCTTCGTCGAATATACCCGTTAGATTCTACTATGTGCGCTCCGAGACCAATCCTGCAAGATTGCGCCTCTAGGGGAATATCAACTATGCACGCTTCCGATCCACTTTGGTGGCAGGGACCCCCCTTTCTTCACGAATCACCGGCGCAATGGCCAGGAGCTCACGATTTCACCTTACCACCTGCTCATACTGACATGGCAGAAAGCGAATACCAAACTCTCTCGTTATCACATCCAACGACGTACAACTCCCCGCTTCGGTTCCGTTCTAAGAGTCACTATATTAGACTAGTTAGATCGACAGTCTACGTGCTCAAGTTCGTCGCTCATTTGGCCCACAAAGCCGGTGTTACGCTTAAATGTCTCCATCTTAGCTCAATTTGTTCCTTCAAGTAGATATTTGCGCTTCAGAATACACAGAAGCCGAGACGCTTCTCCTGAAGGAACATTACCGCGAAAGCGAACCACTCCTTAGTCGACTTCCTCTACAGCGTTTTAACGCTCACCGCTCCTCCGATGGCCTTATTCGCTGCCCGCACCCTTTGCAGAACATAGACTCCTTATCACCATCACCCATTCTGCTAGTCCCCGCTCACTGGCTCACTCAGCTCATAGTCATACATGTGCACCGCAGCCAATTCCACTCTGGTGTTCATGCCACCATGGCTGCTCTTCGTCGCCACTACTACATCCCTTCTATCCGCAGCACAGTGGCAAAAATTCTTCGTTCATGCGCTATTTGTAAGAGAATGAATGGAGTGCCTTATCGTTATCCAGATATGCCAAGCTTGCCTCGCGAACGAGTCACCAGATCTCGACCCTTTCAGCGAGTTGGATTAGACTACCTAGGCCCGTTTCGCTATTTGGACGCGCTCAACGCACCAGCTAAGCTTTGGATCTGCCTCATCACTTGTATGACAACACGAGCCCTCCATTTAGAACTTGTCCTCAACAATACAACCCAGGAGTTTCTCCTCGCATTCCGTCGTTTCGTCGCTCGCCGAGGGATACCAGACTTAATTTTGAGCGACAACGCCACTACATTTCATTCTGCGAATGACACTCTTCAACAGGTCATATACGGTCAGTTCTCTGATGGCCATATCTCCTCCTATCTTGCTAGCCACCATATCGAATGGAGGTTTATCACACCCTTGTCGCCTTGGAAAGGCGGGTTTTATGAAAGACTTCGTTCGGTCTGGTGAAATCCGCCCTCCAAAAGTCCGTGAGACATTCTCTCCTGCCGCTTAATCAGTTCCAGACACTCATCATTGAAATAGAAGGCATTCTTAACTCGCGTCCCATCACATCCCTCCCCGACACTGCCTCGGCGCCAACAGTTCTTCGCCCGGTAGACTGCATCTCCCCACAGGTTCAGCTACAGTTGCCTAGCTCCGATACCGATCTCCGACATCAGCCTCACCACCGTCTCATCGAATGGTACAAGTGCACACTCGCCGCGCTAGATAGATTTTGGGAAGCATGGTCCGAGGACTATCTTTCAGCGCTTCGCGACCGTCAGACAACCCGCCTTCGTCAGGGTAAAACCACTCAACGTCTGCCCAGGGTTGGGGACGTAGTTCTCGTTGGGGACAAACAAATGCCTAGGGGACAATGGCCCTTGGCCGTAATCACAAAGCTAGCATTCGACCACCAGCAGCAGGTCAGATCGGTTACCCTTAGAATATCTAATGGCACCATACTGCAAAGGTCGCTCAATCACTTGTACCCTCTGGAGATAACAAACGAGGACGATTCCGTTCAGCCCTCACAACCCAACCCCATAGAGTCCAACCCTCGAGAGCAGCAAAACGCGCCTTCTCATATAAGTCGCTGTTGCAAGACGCCAGCGGACCTCCATTTCGCGCGGTTGAATAACACTGCCTTGTGGGTGGCCACCGTCTCCATAGACAAGATTTACATTACTCTTTTATGTATAATAATCTCATCTAATCACGCCTCGATACTATCAATTATTTTTGCATCCCTTTCTCATGCAGCTCGTGTAACTTTCCTTGCGCTCATAATTCACATCCAAACCTGAACTCAATCGATTAACCTCGGAATGAAATTCATTGTTGCCTCAGTTTTCACTTATGCAACTCTGCGATGAAGTTGTAACTCCTTCCTTGCCCAACGACATCACAGTCGCACCTGCACTCGACCAATACAACACATTCCGAAAAGTCATTATTGCGTCTGTTCTCTCTCTGTCTCTGTACGATAGATTCTCGCAACACCGTTCCTGCCCAATGATTTCGCAATCGCATGTTTATTCGATCGATTTGGACAAGTCTATGGCCGCCTCTTGCCTCACGGACAACGCGCGCATTTCAATTGCTACGGTATTTCCGCTCGGGACCCCGCGACCATGGCCACGCCCGCCTCGCGTCGCTAATTCGCAATCGTCCTCCGCGCCTTTGCAATGATTTCCACAGTCGCCCGGTCACTCGATCGATTTAGACCAGTCTGTGGCCGCCTCCTTCCTAGCGGACAACCCGCGCGTTTCGATTGCTGCGCGATATTTCTGCTCGGGACCCCGCGACCATTGCCACGACCGCCTCGCATCACTAGTTCGCAATCGTTCTTCGCGCCATCACGTGACTGACTTCAATACTCCTGTTATCCAAATTTCCGATTTCTCGATCTGACTATTTCTCACTAAGCAATAGTGCGTGTGTTTGTTTCCTGTGTTTTCACTATACATCCATCCTCACTGCCATCATAGTCCTCACTCCCATCTTCCACTAGGTGCAGTCTTGTTATGCCAACTCCGGGTCCCTTTTTATTGTGAAGCATTGCTCGTCTCGCACCGGCGTTTTTGTTTAAGATTCACTTACTTGCTCATGGACTAATCAATAAGTGACGTCATTACATCTGCGATTTAGAACTGATGTTTTGAATACGGGGCTCTTCCAACAAGCAGCTATTAATTACGATTGCAGGAACGGCTCGAGAGCCTCACGAACTCAGCATGGCCAGTCAAGCCCCAACGCAGCGCAAACGTCCAGTCAGTCCTGCCACCTCGGACGTCAAGAAGCCAGGTTCGGGCACGTGCCCACGAAAACGCAGGTTAGATCACAGTCGTTTCGTTCACACACGAAGTCATTCTCATTCCCATCTCACCCGCTTAGCCAGTTTTGATTTGGAGACCGAATTATTAGTTCCTGCGTTGCGCAAACTTTTTGGATTTAGGAGCAGCTCTTCCTCTCCATCGTTGCATCGTTCCAGTTATCGTCCGCTATCTCAACCGAAGCTCCTTGATCCTGCGGCCACATCCTCGCCCAGTCGAGGCCTCCGTGACAGGGTTCCGCAGGAGCTCATAGCACTTCTTGCTCAAGGTTCCACTGTAGATACCCCCAAAGGAGTCTTGGTTGCCGACGACGACGCCTCGAAGATGCCAGCATCGCACCCGAACATCGTCTATCCCTCCTGATCGCCCAAGCACTCACGCTCGCTCGCAACTACGACCACACCTTTAACATTGAACACCTCGCGGCTCGGGACATGGTGATGGTCGATGCATTTTTGCGTCATTCCTTCTACAATACACTTCGCAGCGGAATTGTCGACGAAGCCCATGTCCCCACCGAAGCAGAGTTAGAGTACCCTCCAGTGAAAGAGTATTCCATTTACCTTGTGATCCAGGCATACAAGGCTCTCGCTGCAGCTACTCAGAAGCTCACCACCTTCAACTCAGATCTGCCCCAGGCCTCCAGATAACTTCCAGAATGAATCCAAGCTTTTGAAACTTCACGAAAGGCTTATCACCCTCATCTACAATGTGCAGGAACACCGCAACATCCTCGGAGACCTCATCATGCCCAATGCCTTCAACCCAGTCGAAGACAACAAACAGGTTGTCGACATACTCAACCACTATTCCGTCACAATCGCTCGCATTAAACTCGTCTGCGTCACAGCCTCCACAGCTACTTCATTCGGCTATACTAATCTCAAGCATATTGGCACCGCGTTGGCTCGCCTACGTCAAGTTAACCCAGACCCTCCGTCTCCGGCAGAGTCTCTCGAGATACCCACTGTCGAGGAACTTTATGCACTTTACTCCGACGTCTCACAGAAGCAAGACTCCGCATGCACCCTCCAGTCGACTGACAAAAAGGATAAACCCGACAACGCACCTGGAAAGCGATACCACGCCATCCGTACCTGCTACCATGACCGTCCGCCTGTCACGCCCCCTCCGCCACCGTCAGACCCCCATCCCAGAAGAGGTCCTTTGTTGTCATTTTTGTGGTGGCCGCCACTACACTAACATGTGCACTCAAGTCGTCAACCTC